GACGAACAGGCAGACTGATTCTTGCGCTGGCAATATCGTAATAAATACATACATTTGAGCGGAAAGTTTTCTTATGAACATTATCGTACAATATTTTGTGTTGAGTTTTGCGTGATTTGCGAGTAAGAATAAAGTAAAGTGACTCCTGAACTACAGAGACTGTTAAACTTTATAAATTGTTCGATTGTTGATTAAATACAACTGTGATTAAATACACTGAGTGATCACTAAACAAGACTATTACCTATCTTTTCTTTGTCTCATTACACTACATGGCGTGACTCTGCATAAATCACCATTAGAACATCAAGATGTGAACAACTTGTGAAGAAAAACCTAGACATTCGCATCTTGCACCAATTCTATATGGATGACCTCAAACTCTATGCATCAAATACAGATCAATTGCAAGGCAAATTCGCTCTCGTTAAGAGTTTCGGCAATGACATCTGCATGGAGTTTATATTAGACAAATGTGTCATCTTACATGCTAAACGTGATGGAGTCCAAGATTAAAAACAAATTCTGCATCACTTTCAGAGCACAATTATTTAGAACCTATCTATAAATTGCAGGAAGTGGAAATAATTTTGGTGATAGTATCAGTTGGAAGAATAAGTTAGTCAGAAAAGATTGGCAAAATGCTAAGAAGACTGTTACGTCCTAGGCCTACGGTAACGGTCGAGCCCTTGAGGAGTGACGTAACCGACACACGACACTTTGTGTGTCAACTCCCAGCACAGTGACCCAGAGAGATACGAGCGTCAAGTGCGCGGGTTCAGCGAGATTTCGGTGTCGTAAACAAGCCAACGAGTGTTTCTCGCTATAGCTTGTTCAACCTCTTAGGCACGGCTGAGTTTTGCGCGGAGCTGTTTCTCTGTACGGTAGAGTTCAACGCAAATTACGTGTAAATGATAAGCACTGCAATGTGTGACGGATAATGCTGTTTTTTACACGAGTACATTAGAATGAAGTGTTTGATGATTAAATTATGAGAGATGGCATCCGCGAAAGCCACTATAGTGGCACGTCGTACAGAAAGATGACATCCGCGAAAGCCATTATAGTGGCGCGTAGTGCCTAAGAGGTTAACGGCTTCTCGCTCGTCGGTTCCTTTTTCGAGTCTTAGATGCGAATCTAAATTACTCGGGACGGAATCAGGCGATTGATTGAGAGATGACAGGAATGGGAGTAACTAAGCGAGGTCTATGATTAAACTAACTCAAACTACCTTTATTAACATAGATGTTTATAAACTTGTTTATTTATTTATCATACTTAAATTTACTTACAATTTACTTGCTTACTATGTTGGTAATATTGTGCGGTTGTTACATTATAAAGTTACGTGTAAATGAGGGAAGTCATAAAAGCGCGTGTGTGTGTGTGGGACTCAGTCAATGGTTATTTCTATATATTCTCTCACTATGGAAGATGAAGGTGGATAGAATCTATAGAAATAAGAAACAGGGACTCCCCCTCGCGGATTTCTGGAATTCCTGGGAACCTTACTAATATTTTATAATCGTGAGGGAGGGTATATCGCGTAACGGAGGGAATTCGGGAATTTCTTATGTAGGTCAAGAACTCTATCGGTTGGAGAAGGAGGGGGGTCGGCAACAGGGAAGGAATCTGCTAATGTGACGTAATGTGCAAGGTCAGAGAGTCGTCATCATCGTCGGAAAGGATTTCATGATCGGAGGAAGCTGGTGAAGAAAGGGAAGGAGAGTTCTGTCGAGGAGGGGTGGAGGGTTCATGTATATCAGAAGTTTCATCGGGAGGAACGGGGGAATATGATGGAGATTCTAAGAGAGAGGGAGAAGGGGAGCAAGGGGAATACTGAGTCTAGTGTGTGGAGGTGTGTGTGTTATTGTTAATTTTTATTACGTCAGGATTGCTATTTCTAGTAATATTATTTCTATTGCTGACAGAAAGGGGGAGGTCGGTTTGCTCAGGCTGGTTAGCAGCGGTTCCGCGCCGTAGCGCCCGGTTACGACGGTTCCGTCGTGCTAATATCGCGCTCCGCGACTTGAGGTTTTTCCGGGGTTCCGCTTAAAAAATGTCATTTGTTTAGTATGTTCTCTTGACGGGTCAAGACCAGCGATTAATTTCCGGAAACTAAAGTGAGCTTAATCTTCTCGCTTAACGTCACCAAAAGAGACTCGGCAGTTGTTCGGAACGACACAAGATCGTGAACAGCTAGTCCGATTGAAAGTAAATTAAAAACTATGAACACGAATTTCCTCCGGATGTGAATCGCTTTTGTCAAGTAACAAAACTTACGACAAGCTCAAGGGACCCCTTCTAGATAATTAAGAGGCACGGTAGTGCCTCGCGCCAAGTTCACGCGCAACGAAGTGGCGCTCGAACTGCGCGAGCACACTGTGCCTATTATACGCGAGATTCATGCATTTTAGGAGTGGGGAGATTTTCTCAGGGCAATATTTTAGTAAACACTGAACCGATCAATTTCGTTTTGGTCTCAAT